TTTAGCACCTTCAGTACCCTGGTGATGGACCAGGTGCTTTAGCACCTTCAGTACCCTGGTGATGGACCATACACACTGAATGACGGTGTTCATCCTTATTTCCACTCCTTGGTCGTTACCTATATTCCCCTCCCCCTCCCCTCGTTCCCTACCTTTTTTTCCACTATATATATATCTGGCAAGTTCCTCGGGAAATTTCTTACAGTTTCTAGGTTATCTATTTTCAATACTTCTCTAATGCTTGACCGCTTTCCATCTCACTGGGGGAAAAACAGAAACATCTGTTCTATTTTAGGTTATTTCTTGTAGCTGAATTAAGCTTTGTACATGATATATGAGATGTTCCATATTTTTCACACTCGCTGCCCCTATGCTTCTTTACCCCAAAATTCTACATTCACCTCAGATCTTATTTTTGGGCATCCTCACTTTCCTCAGTATTTTCAGATCAAATCAAATCAAGTTTATTCTCTATAAAGATTACAATGCGAGGTTTACATAATTTAGGATATTGTGAGATTTACATGTTATAAAATACTAATTACACAAGGAGCCACTAGGACACCTAGCATGGCTAGGCATTTCAGGCAGACTAAGATTAATTCATAACTCTGTATTGTTACAGATTATGGAGCAAGTTGGTATTAAGGCTAAGTAACGACATTACAGTTTGTAAATTTAGCAATGTGAAAGCTTTTGTTTTGGTACAATACACAAGTTCTTTATTGGAGTATCACAGGCACACTGATGACTAGTTAGGATTCATTATTTTAAGATTCGTATTTCTGTGTTTATAATCAAATGAGTGAATGTGTGAATGTAAGTGTAACCCACCAGGTGTTTCCATGTAGTTAGCCGTCGAGGTGCATCAGGGAGATAAGATGTTTTCTAACCGTAGTTTTGAAAGTGAGGAATGTGTCTGCAGCAAACTAACAAGCTGCGGTTTGTCTTCACACGGGGTCAGTACCAAACTAACAAGCTGCGGCTTGTCTTCACACGGGGTCAGTACCAAACTAACAAGCTGCGGCTTGTCTTCACACGGGGTCAGCACCAAACTAACAAGCTGCGGCTTGTCTTCACTCGGGGTCAGCACCAAACTAACAAGCTGCGGCTTGTCTTCACACGGGGTCAGTACCAAGCTAACAAGCATCGGCTTGTCTTCACACGGGGTCAGCACCAAACTAACAAGCTGCGGCTTGTCTTCACTCGGGGTCAGCACCAAACTAACAAGCTGCGGCTTGTCTTCACACGGGGTCAATACCAAACTAACAAGCTGCGGCTTGTCTTCACACGGGGTCAGCACCAAACTAACAAGCTGCGCCTTGGCTTCACACGGGGTCAGCACCAAACTAACAAGCTGCGGCTTGTCTTCACACGGGGTCAGTACCAAACTAACAAGCATCGGCTTGTCTTCACACGGGGTCAGCACCAAACTAACAAGCTGCGGCTTGTCTTCACACGGGGTCAGTACCAAACTAACAAGCTGCGGCTTGTCTTCACACGGGGTCAGTACCAAACTAACAAGCTTCGGCTTGTCTTCACACGGGGTCAGTACCAAACTAACAAGCTGCGGCTTGTCTTCACACGGGGTCAGCACCAAACTAACAAGCTGCGGCTTGTCTTCACACGGGGTCAGTACCAAACTATCAAGCTGCAGCTTGTCTTCACACGGGGTCAGCACCAAACTAACAAGCTGCGGCTTGGCTTCTCACGGGGTCAGCACCAAACTAACAAGCTGCGGCTTGTCTTCACAATGGGTCAGTACCAAACTAACAAGCATCGGCTTGTCTTCACACGGGGTCAGTACCAAACTAACAAGCTGCGGCATGTCTTCACACGGGGTCAGTACCAAACTAACAAGCTGCGGCTTGTCTTCACACGGGGTCAGTACCAAACTAACAAGCTGTGGCTTGTCTTCACACGGGGTCAGTACCAAACTAACAAGCTGCGGCTTGTCTTCACACGGGGTCAGTACCAAACTAACAAGCTGCGGTTTGTCTTCACACGGGGTCAGCACCAAACTAACAAGCTGCGGCTTGTCTTCACACGGGGTCAGTACCAAACTAATAATCTGCGGCTTGTCTTCACACGGGGTCAGCACCAAACTAACAAGCTGCAGCTTGTCTTCACACGGGGTCAGCACCAAACTAACAAGCTGCGGCTTGTCTTCACACGGGGTCAGCACCAAACTAACAAGCTGCAGCTTGTCTTCACACGGGGTCAGCACCAAACTAACAAGCTGCGGTTTGTCTTCACACGGGGTCAGCACCAAACTAACAAGCTGCGGCTTGTCTTCACACGGGGTCAGCACCAAACTAACAAGCTGCGGCTTTTCTTCACACGGGGTCAGCACCAAACTAACAAGCTGCGGCTTGTCTTCACACGGGGTCAGTACCAAACTAACAAGATGCGGCTTGTCTTCACACGGGGTCAGTACCAAACTAACAAGCTGCGGCTTGTCTTCACACGGGGTCAGCACCAAACTAACAAGCTGAGGCTTGTCTTCACACGGGGTCAGCACCAAACTAACAAGCTGCGGCTTGTCTTCACACGGGGTCAGTACCAAACTAACAAGCTGCGGCTTGTCTTCACACGGGGTCAGCACCAAACTAACAAGCTGCGGCTTGTCTTCACACGGGGTCAGTACCAAACTAACAAGCTGCGGCTTGTCTTCACACGGGGTCAGCACCAAACTAACAAGCTGCAGCTTGTCTTCACACGGGGTCAGTACCAAACTAACAAGCTGCGGCTTGTCTTCACACGGGGTCAGTACCAAACTAACAAGCTGCGGCTTGTCTTCACACGGGGTCAGCACCAAACTAACAAGCTGCAGCTTGTCTTCACACTGGGTCAGTACCAAACTAACAAGCTGCGGCTTGTCTTCACACGGGGTCAGCACCAAACTAACAAGCTGAGGCTTGTCTTCACAAGGGGTCAGCACCAAACTAACAAGCTGCGGCTTGTCTTCACACGGGGTCAGTACCAAACTAACAAGCTGCGGCTTGTCTTCACACGGGGTCAGCACCAAACTAACAAGCTGAGGCTTGTCTTCACAAGGGGTCAGCACCAAACTAACAAGCTGCGGCTTGTCTTCACACGGGGTCAGTACCAAACTAACAAGCTGCGGCTTGTCTTCACACGGGTCAGCACCAAACTAACAAGCTGCGGCTTGTCTTCACACGGGGTCAGTACCAAACTAACAAGCTGCGGCTTGTCTTCACACGGGGTCAGCACCAAACTAACAAGCTGCGGCTTGTTTTCACACGGGGTCAGCACCAAACTAACAAGCTGCGGCTTGTCTTCACATGGGGTCAGCACCAAACTAACAAGCTGCGGCTTGTCTTCACACGGGGTCAGCACCAAACTAACAAGCTGCGGCTTGTCTTCACACGGGGTCAGCACAAAACTCCTCCTAACCCATTAAAATGGTATAAAATACTGACAGGTTGTTAGGTAAGACACATATGGAACAATTAGGTATCTTTATTTCGAAACGTTTCGCCTACACAGTAGGCTTCTTCAGTCGAGTACAGAAAAGTTGATAGAAGCAGAAGATTCTTGAAGACGATGTAATCAGTCCATCACCCTTGAAGTTTTGAGGTGGTCAGTCCCTCAGTCTGGAGAAGAGTATTGTTCCATAGTCTGAAACAATATGGACTGAAGAAGCCTACTGTGTAGGCGAAACGTTACGAAATAAAGATACCTAACTGTTGCATATGTGTCTTACCTAATAACATCCTCCTAACCCAGTTTTGACTCGTATTAAATAAGGTCTCGTATTATTTTTTTTAATTCGTACTAAATTGAATTTAGCATTAATCACATTCGTACTAATCGAGGCCTTGCTGTACGTCTAGTTATTATTATTATTATTATTATTATTATTATTATTATTAGTAGTAGTAGTAGTAGTATTGTTGTTGTTATTAGTAGTAGTAGTATTATTATTAGTAGTAGTAGTAGTAGTATTGTTGTTGTTATTAGTAGTAGTAGTATTATTAGTAGTAGTAGTATTAGTAGTATTGTTGTTGTTATTAGTAGTAGTAGTATTAGTAGTAGTAGTAGTAGTAGTAGTAGTAGTAGTAGTAGTATTGTTGTTGTTTTTATTAGTAGTAGTAGTATTAGTACTAGTAGTAGTAGTATTGTTGTTGTTGTTATTATTATTATTATTATTATTATTATTATTATTATTATTAGCAGCAGCAGCAGCAGCAGCAGCAGCAGTTGTAGTAGTAACATTAATAGTAGTAGTAATAGTATTAATAGTTGAAGCAGTAGTAGTAGTAGTATCAGTAGAGGTAATAGAAGTAGTAATAGCAGTATTAGTAGTAAAAGTAGTAGTAGTAGTAATAATAGTAGTGACAATAGTTAAGATGTAGTTAAGATGCACTTATAGTACAGTGGTCCCTCGTTTTTCGTAATTAATCCGTTCCTGGAGGTGCTACTATTATCGAAATCTACGATTTTCGAATCAATTTTCCCCATAAGAAATAATGTAAATACAATTAATCTGTTCCTGACACCCAGAAGTATCAAAAAAAAAATTTTTTTACCTTAAAGATAGATTTACATGCACAAAAGAATAAACATTCAAGATGACAGTTACCTTTATTGAAGGCTGTTGTTGAAGAATGGAAGACAGGGAGGAGGAGAGAGGGAAGGGAGGTTATTGTTTGGAAGTGGAATCCCCCTCCATAAGGAGGAGAGGGTGGATAAATGCATGAGTGAGAGGGGTTGGATTTGAGTGGGACTTGCTTATTAGGGCTTATTTCTTGGTTGTGCAAGAATGGTATATAATACCAACAATTTCTTGGGTAGCATTGAAAATTGGGTTGGGCAAATGTTTTGTTAGTGGGATGAATTGTAAAGGACCTGCCTAGTATGGGCCAACAGGCCTGCTGCAGTGTTCCTCCTTTCTTATGTTCTTATGTTCTTAGTAGTAGCAGCATTAGTAGTATTAATATATAATATTATTGGATCTAAAAGTAAGGTGTTGGTAGTTCTGCAGCGGGTGTGAGTGTGTTGTGTAAGATGCAAGAGGATCACATGTGGACGGTGTTCCTCGCCCGCCGCCGACACACTCCACAAGAGAACTTTGCCAGGAACTGGCAAGACTACAAGACCGGCTTCGGTGATCCACGTGGTGAATATTGGCTGGGTAAGATAAAATGTAGCTCTCTGTGTTGTATTGATGCTCATGCATTTCTTTCTGATGTGTTACAACTAATGTAGATCTGTGTTGTAATGTAGTTCATGTAGCTCTTTGTGTTGTGGTGTAGTTCATGTAGATCTCTGTGTTTTGTTATATTTTATGCAGCTCTCTGTGTGTTGTGTTATATTTTATGTAGCTCTGTGTGTTGTGTTATATTTTATGTAGCTCTGTGTGTTGTGTTATATTTTATGTAGCTCTGTGTGTTGTGTTATATTTTATGTAAACTCTGTGTGTTGTGTTATATTTTATGTAGCTCTGTGTGTTGTGTTATATTTTATGTAGCTCTGTGTGTTGTGTTATATTTTATGTAGCTCTGTGTGTTGTGTTATATTTTATGTAACTCTGTGTGTTGTGCTATATTTTATGTAGATCTCTGTGTTGTGTTATATTTTATGTAGCTCTGTGTGTTGTGTTATATTTTATGTAGATCTCTGTGTTGTGTTATATTTTATGTAGCTCTGTGTGTTGTGTTATATTTTATGTAGATCTCTGTGTTGTGTTATATTTTATGTAGCTCTGTGTGTTGTGTTATATTTTATGTAGATCTCTGTGTTGTGTTATATTTTATGTAGCTCTGTGTGTTGTGCTATATTTTATGTAGCTCTGTGTGTTGTGTTATATTTTATGCAGCTCTGTGTGTTGTGTTATATTTTATGTACCTCTGTGTGTTGTGCTATATTTTATGTAGATCTCTGTGTTGTGTTATATTTTATGTAGCTCTCTGTGTTGTGCTATATTTTATGTAGATCTCTGTGTTGTGTTATATTTTATGTAGCTCTGTGTGTTGTGCTATATTTTATGTAGCTCTGTGTGTTGTGTTATATTTTATGTAGCTCTGTGTGTTGTGCTATATTTTATGTAGATCTCTGTGTTGTGTTATATTTTATGTAGATCTCTGTGTTGTGTTATATTTTATGTAGCTCTGTGTGTTGTGTTATATTTTATGTAGCTCTGTGTGTTGTGTTATATTTTATGTAGCTCTGTGTGTTGTGTTATATTTTATGTAGATCTCTGTGTTGTGTTATATTTTATGTAGCTCTGTGTGTTGTGTTATATTTTATGTAGCTCTGTGTGTTGTGTTATATTTTATGTAGCTCTGTGTGTTGTGTTATATTTTATGTAGATCTCTGTGTTGTGTTATATTTTATGTAGCTCTGTGTGTTGTGTTATATTTTATGTAGCTCTGTGTGTTGTGTTATATTTTATGTAGCTCTGTGTGTTGTGTTATATTTTATGTAGATCTCTGTGTTGTGTTATATTTTATGTAGCTCTGTGTGTTGTGTTATATTTTATGTAGATCTCTGTGTTGTGTTATATTTTATGTAGATCTCTGTTTTTGTGTTATATTTTATGTAGCTCTGTGTGTTGTGTTATATTTTATGTAGATCTCTGTGTTGTGCTATATTTTATGTAGCTCTGTGTGTTGTGCTATATTTTATGTAGATCTCTGTGTTGTGTTATATTTTATGTAGCTCTGTGTGTTGTGTTATATTTTATGTAGCTCTGTGTGTTGTGTTATATTTTATGTAGCTCTGTGTGTTGTGCTATATTTTATGTAGATCTCTGTGTTGTGTTATATTTTATGTAGATCTCTGTGTTGTGTTATATTTTATGTAGCTCTGTGTGTTGTGTTATATTTTATGTAGCTCTGTGTGTTGTGTTATATTTTATGTAGCTCTGTGTGTTGTGTTATATTTTATGTAGCTCTGTGTGTTGTGCTATATTTTATGTAGATCTCTGTGTTGTGTTATATTTTATGTAGATCTCTGTGTTGTGTTATATTTTATGTAGCTCTGTGTGTTGTGTTATATTTTATGTAGCTCTGTGTGTTGTGCTATATTTTATGTAGATCTCTGTGTTGTGTTATATTTTATGTAGCTCTGTGTGTTGTGTTATATTTTATGTAGCTCTGTGTGTTGTGTTATATTTTATGTAGATCCTGTGTTGTGTTATATTTTATGTAGATCTGTGTGTTGTGTTATATTTTATGTAGCTCTGTGTGTTGTGTTATATTTTATGTAGATCTCTGTGTTGTGTTATATTTTATGTAGCTCTGTGTGTTGTGTTATATTTTATGTAGATCTCTGTGTTGTGTTATATTTTATGTAGCTCTGTGTGTTGTGTTATATTTTATGTAGATCTCTGTGTTGTGTTATATTTTATGTAGCTCTGTGTGTTGTGTTATATTTTATGTAGCTCTGTGTGTTGTGTTATATTTTATGTAGCTCTGTGTGTTGTGTTATATTTTATGTAGCTCTGTGTGTTGTGTTATATTTTATGTAGCTCTGTGTGTTGTGTTATATTTTATGTAGCTCTGTGTGTTGTGTTATATTTTATGTAGCTCTGTGTGTTGTGTTATATTTTATGTAGCTCTGTGTGTTGTGTTATATTTTATGTAGCTCTGTGTGTTGTGTTATATTTTATGTAGCTCTGTGTGTTGTGTTATATTTTATGTAGCTCTGTGTGTTGTGTTATATTTTATGTAGCTCTGTGTGTTGTGTTATATTTTATGTAGCTCTGTGTGTTGTGTTATATTTTATGTAGCTCTGTGTGTTGTGTTATATTTTATGTAGCTCTGTGTGTTGTGTTATATTTTATGTAGCTCTGTGTGTTGTGTTATATTTTATGTAGCTCTGTGTGTTGTGTTATATTTTATGTAGCTCTGTGTGTTGTGTTATATTTTATGTAGCTCTGTGTGTTGTGCTATATTTTATGTAGATCTCTGTGTTGTGTTATATTTTATGTAGCTCTGTGTGTTGTGTTATATTTTATGTAGCTCTGTGTGTTGTGCTATATTTTATGTAGATCTCTGTGTATGGATTTAAAAAGGTTTATCTGTGTTTGCAGTAAATGTTGCACTGTAATAATCATTTTTGTGTCGTAAATATATTATATTCATCAAGTTAAAGTTTTAATGAAGGTTATGAATGAAATCATGTGATTATTTGCAGGCAATGACAACCTTCACACGCTGACTAGCGGAGACCAGAGTTACCGGCTCAGGGTAGTCGCCACCAACCTACGAGGAGAACAGCGATCTGCAGATTGGGAGACATTTAGCGTGGGTGATGAAACCAGCGGGTAATATATCGAGAATTTAGTCGTTTTCTAGGTTATCTCTTTCCTCCTGCATGTGTAGAGTCGAGTGAAGTTGCCAACAGGTAACGTTGAGAAAATTGTTGTCCTTTACTCTAGTATATCCTCCCAGCGCATGCTTAACATGGGTCATAAGATAAGATAAGATAAGATTTCGTTCGGATTTTTAACCCCGGAGGGTTAGCCACCCAGGATAACCCAAGAAAGTCAGTGCGTCATCGAGGACTGTCTAACTTATTTCCATTGGGGTCCTTAATCTTGTCCCCCAGGATGCGACCCACACCAGTCGACTAACACCCAGGTACCTATTTGCTGCTAGGTGAACAGGACAACAGGTGTAAGGAAACGTGTCGAAATGTTTCCACCCGCCGGGAATCGAACCCGGGCCCTCCGTGTGTGAAGCGGGAGCTTTAGCCACCAGACCACCGGGCCAGCAGGGCATGTAAGACAATCGCTGACAAAACAAAATCAGAGACAGTCAGCGTTAATTAAAAGATGGGGCTATCGACGAAGAGGTCAGATTAAGTGCTTTTGGGCTGTGACGACGTCGGAAGTAATTTCTGCGTACCCGCTGATAGACGGAGCAGTAATAAAATATGGTAAATTGGTAACGGTACTTGAGCTGAGTTTTTATCTATGAGAAACCAGTACCTAAGACGTGTGTCAGATAAGTAGGCGGGAGAGTGTAGTCTCCCAAACATGACAATCATAACGTGACCAAAAACTCATACAAGTTTTGACAGAATGCTGTTTGTTATGAACCACGCAGACTACCGTTGTTACCAACGGTTGCGAAGTTTCCTAAAGATTATTGTAAAATATTCTGAGAGTGGAACACACCTGTATGAAATGTGTAGGTCATTAACAGCTGACCGCCCAGCAGAATCCGCCTTCTAGTTGACCTGAACATCCACATGACCAGGGACCAGCAGATAACGATGTCTAAGTGTTTACTGGAAATGCGGCACAAACAATATTATGTACGAAAAACGATGGGATGAGGAGAATGAAATTTTTGGATAGCTTGTAGAGCACTAAAAAAGTCTGAAACAACCATGAATGTTGAGGTAGGCAGGAAAGCAATATGTATAACAGCAAAGAGAGCTGCATATAGCTCAGCTGTAAAAACGCTAGCTAATTCTAATAAATAAACTCGCACAATTGTGTCTGAAAAACCTGCTGCAAACCAGACACCGTCAGAGAACTGACGGTGTCTGGTCTCATGCAACCTCCTGAGAATAAGATAGGAAATGGTTAAGAAAATTGGAGCGAGAGGCTTCAGTAGAAAATTGAGCTTTCGCACACAGCACTGGGAAAGAAGATACTCATGGTGGGAACTTCCCAAGTGGCAAAAGAGAAAAGTTATATATAGACTTCCCATGCATGTTTAATTAACATGGGTCATAAAGCAAACATATAAACTCAACAGATTTTTACTCTGCTTATTTAACAGAAATGACTGATTTTCGTAGATTTACTGCATAAATAAGTTTTCACTAGACGTATTTGGCAGAATTGACTCTTGCCTTTTAGGCTAAGCTTACCAGTTTGGATTATTGTGAACAAACGACGTATATATATAACTATCTATATATATATATGTCATTCCAAATATGTAAAACTGGTCAATTAGCAAGAACTCATTTAAAATTAAGTCCTGAAATTTTCTCTTATTCGTTTAAAGATATATTTTTTTCATTAATGTTAATGTAAAAATTTTTAATTTTGCACCAAAAGAATCTTAGAAAATTTACCTAACTTTATCATAAAAAGAGCAATTTATTGTAGCCTAACCCAACTAAATATATTTTAAATACGTTTACAGTAATTTAGTTCTAAGCAAACACAATCAAATATATTTTTTTCGTTAGGTTCAGAATGATTTTGGCGAAATTATTGCATACACAAATTTTCACTTGTCCTATATGGCAAGATGAGTGTTGCTATTTAAGCCAAGATCGCAAGTTCTGCCTATTCGGCACGACATATATATATATAATTGTAACCACGAACTAGTGGTATTGATCAATAACAACACTGCGCTAGCCAAGGATTCGAACCCATGTTGTACTGGCCTGCCTCATGGTAAGCGAGAACCACATGACGCTTTAAACCACTGGACCACCCAACCTTTCGTAGGGTTGGGTGGTCCTGTGGTTTAAAGCGTCATGTGCTTCTCGCTTACCATGAGGCAGGCCAGTACAACATGGGTTCGAATCTTTGGCTAGCGCAGTGTTGTTATTGATATATATGTGTGTGTGTGTGTGTCGTGCCGAATAGGTAAAATTTGTCAGTTAGCAAGAACTCATTTAAAATTAAATCTTTACTAAAATTTTCTCTTATACGTTTCAAGAATTTTTTTTTTCATTTATGTTAATGTAAAAAATAATTTTTGTACCAAAAATAACTCAGAAAACTTACCTAACCTTATTATAACAAGTCACTCTGGTTGTATTCAAGCCGCCTGGAACAATTTCCTAACAGTTCAAGGAACAGCTTTTGAAAATTGACAACTGTAAGGAAAATCTCTCGACCTCAGCCCCCAAAATCTTGCTGCTGGGCGAGTTCAACATCTAAAATGGAAGAATGTGGCAAATGGTGTGTTAGCAGAAATAACCCCAGAAGCCAGCCCATATGAAAATTAACACACACATGAGCTTTTAAATCTCTGCAGCAAATTAACCTTAAGCTAGAAAATAGTGGAGCCAACAAAACTGGAAAATATTCGAGGCTTTATCTTCACTAACAAAGATGATCTGGTACGAAATATAACAGTAACAAAGGCAATACATTCAGATCACAACATAATATAAGTTCAGACATGTATGTGCAGTACTCCTGTGTGGCACTTGAAGTATGCTCAAGGCACATGCCCTTAAGAAAACAGAAGAGAAGGTGTAAACTAGAAGGTAAAGAATCGCAGAGCTGCTTAAAGGGGCCAGTATATCTGAAATGCGGAATGAGGCAGTGGTCAGAGAAAAAAGAAAATATCGAACTTAATCTTAAGAAATCATACAGGAGCCACGAAACACAGAAAGAACTTGAAGCAATAAATGAAAAAAAAAAAAAAAGTATTTCTTTTCATATGCTCAATCTAGGACAAAAACCACATCCAGTATTGGATCTCTGCTTAAACAAGATGGGACTTACACAGTTGACAGCAAAGAAATGAGTGAGATACTGAAGTCTCAATATGACTCAGCGTTTAGTTAGCCGTTAATCAGACTAAGAGTCGACAATTTAAATGAATTTATTATGACCGAGACTCAAAATTTGGTTAATTCAAGAATTTCTGATATAATCCCATGACCACAGAAGTTTGAAAAAGAAAATAATGACATGCCCATGCACTCTGCCCCAGTATCGTGGAACTCCATGTTCATCAAGAACAGCAAGTAACATCTATCATGTGCCTTAAATATACTATGGAGAGAGAGCATAGCACATGGGTCATCTCATAGTCAAAAAAACAACAGATATAGCCCCACTCCACAAAGATGGCAGTAAAGCAACTGCAAAAAAATGCTGCACTATCACTAACGTCCCACATAAAACTCCCATCATAATAATGTCCCAGCATAAAACTCACTGAAAGGGTTAAAGCATGATCGCCAACCACTTGAATACCCATCAGTTGCACAGCCCAGGGCAGCATGGTTTAGAGCAGGTCGCTCCAGCCTCTCACAACTACTGTATCACTGTGATATGTCTTCGTTGCACTGGAGGACAAAATGCAAATGTAGTATACACAGACTTTGTGAAAGCGTTTGACAAGTGCGATAATGGTGTAATAACATACAAAATGCATGATAAAGAAATAGCAAGAAAAGCTTTAGATGGATGTATAATTTCCAAATAGAACACAAAGAGTAATGGTAAACAGAGTGAAGTCAGAGGTGGCTACAATGAAAAGCTCTGTTCAACAAGGCACAGTTGTAGCCCCCATCTTTTTCCTCGTCCTCATATCTGAAGTAAACAGAGATATAAGCCACAGCACCGTGTCCTCCTTTACTGATGATACCAGAATTTGCATGAAAGTGTTATCCATCGAGATCACTGCAAATCTCCAACAGACATAAACCAAGTTTTTAAATGGGAGCCAGAAAACAATATGAAGATCAATGAAGACAAATTTCAGTTACTATCAGAGGCGTCGTAAGGGGGGGCGGGGGGGGACCGCCCCGGTTGACACCATTTAGGGGGTGACACTATAGAGCCTCTTAAGAAGGTAACACTAATGCCCAAAACAGTGGTGCACCAACATAACAGAAGAATCCTTCGTTTCTACATAGCCTATTATATGATTATAGAGTACAAATAAACTTAAAAATCATTGATTTTGATGATGTGATAGATGATTTTGCAGGATTGAAGGCAAGGTCAAATGTAAGATCAGATTTACTGAGATGTTACCTGTACTCAAGGTCAAATGTAAGATCAGATTCACTGAGATGTTACCTGTACTCAAGGTCAAATGTAAGATCAGATTTACTGAGATGTTACCTGTACTCATGGTCAAATGTAAGATCAGATTCACTGAGATGTTACCTGTACTCAAGGTCAAATGTAAGATCAGATTTACTGAGATGTTACCTGTACTCATGGTCAAATGTAAGATCAGATTCACTGAGATGTTACCTGTACTCAAGGTCAAATGTAAGATCAGATTCACTGAGATGTTACCTGTACTCAAGGTCAAATGTAAGATCAGATTCACTGAGATGTTACCTGTACTCAAGGTCAAATGTAAGATCAGATTTACTGAGATGTTACCTGTACTCATGGTCAAATGTAAGATCAGATTCACTGAGATGTTACCTGTACTCAAGGTCAAATGTAAGATCAGATTCACAGAGATGTTACCTGTACTCAAGGTCAAATGTAAGATCAGATTCACTGAGATGTTACCTGTACTCAAGGTCAAATGTAAGATCAGATTTACTGAGATGTTACCTGTACTCAAGGTCAAATGTAAGATCAGATTC